CAATGGCCCTAAAACAATGGGCAGCCAGGTTTACGTCTTTCTGCAAGGACGTTCGGCTTTACAACCGACAGAGAGCGACATATGTCCATCCATATTTCATTTAGAACGTGGGAGTGTGGTGCGGACAGAATTAGGCCGCGGTGAGCGCGTCCGCGGCGGTCATCTTCAATCATGGCAGTACAACAAATACCAGAAATAAAAAAAATTGCATATAGATTCATAGACCATCTAAGTACGACTACAAGCACTGAAGCGAGCCGAAGGCCTGTCGCCGTCATCGCCCCTCCATCACCGAAGTCGGGCACAACTTGTTGTAGTAGACAGTCAGGAAGTCGTCGTTCTAAGGCCCCGTAGGACCAGCGCACCAGAACAGCAACCGTCGCCGATGAAGAATAATGTAGCTCGAAATGATCCAATCCAAAGACACACGAACGTAGACGAACACCAAAGATAGATTCCAATTAAGACCAACTAATCTAGGGCACCCCAGCAAGCTGAAAAATACTAAATATATTCATGCATTTATGCTTCATTAGATTCTTTGTGTGTGTCCCACCATGAGTGAATTGTAAAAAACATCGACATTGAAGGTTAGAGTTGCAAAAAACACAATTCTACAGTTTTATGCTAAAAATCAATAATTCTGAGCCTAATTTTTTGCAAATAACAACAGTTGGCTCTTTGCGTGTTTTGATGACAATTATGACAGACGGGACCCACATTTTGCCGACGTTAGCAATATCTAACTCCCCTGCCCAGGGTCGGGATCGGTCGTCGTTCCCCGCACACCATCGGCCTCGTGTATTCTAACGTCGTCGCCGGCGGTACCCGCGCGCCCAACAGTACCGCCGCCGCGGCCTGGCCAAAGGTGCTCGCCGCCCCCTTCCTATCGGGCGCTCTCGTGGTCGTCTTCCCTGTGGCCGTCGAGTGCACGTCGAGATGGACAACCTCCGCTACGTGGCCGCCGGCGACGTAGATCCGCCCTCGCGCGGCTGCCGCGGCTCCCTTCCACGGCATCCCGCGGCAGCGGGCCTTGAGCACCTGGTTCCCAGGTGCAACTGCTTGGGGTGAAGCCGTCGTCGCCAGGCCGACGAGCTACATCGACCCAGCCGGTGCGCCCGAACAGCAGCAAGACGACTCGCGCGCTGCCGTACGTGGCCACGACCATGAGCAGCGTTCGCGGCTCGTACGCCTTGCTCCGGCCATACCACACTACCACAGCCCAACGTCATCAGGCGCTCCCGTCTTGGTGGATGTCGAGCGCGCCGGCGTGCGCGCCAACAACAACTTCACCGCGCCTCCCTGCGCTGTCCGGGTCACGAGCAACAGCAGCTTCACCGCGCCTCCCTGCGCCGGCCGGGGCACGAGCAGCAGCAGCTCACGGCGCCTCCTTGTGCCGGCCGGGGCACGAGCAGCAGCAGCTCACCACGCCTCCTTGTGCCGGCCGGGGCACGAGCAGCAGCATGTCACCACGCCTCCCCTGCGGATGGGGTTGATTGCTTTTCTATTTTTGGTTGAAGGGTCTCTAAGCAAAAAGTCAGGGACTCTTCTGTAAATTTAGAACTAACGTTGTCTCACGCGAACAGTTCTGCCACGTCAGCAAAAGCGGGACCCACCTGTCATAATCGTGGTTGAAATGGACTAAGTCGCCAACTAGTGTTTTTTTGCAAAAATTAGGCTCAGAATTAATGATTTTTGTTACAAAACTGTAGAATTGTGGTTTCTGCAAACTTAGCCTTTAATGTCGATGTTTTCTGTGTCCCACCATAGTAACGACCAATTAAGACAGCTTGATAAAGCTACATATAAAATGAATATTTTTGAAACGGAGACATAATATTTGCGTCAACCATGCTACATATAAAAGTAGTACATGTTGGTAGAGCAGCTAGCACATGATGAAATCTTCCTTTAGGCACCAACCAGAAGCTCTTTTTTTATTCCTTAATTTTGCCACTTGTTCTTCATACTTTAGGTGGTAAAGAGTACTGAAAAAGGAGGGAATGTTGATGTATTTGGCCGCAAACTGTAGTGGCACTCAACCGACTGACCGACCACCTCATGCGTCCGTCCATCCTGAAGAAATGTTTTCAATTGTATCACCCTTCAGAGCATAGTTAATAGTGTAGCAATTGTTGACGCTGGAACGCGTCACACGAGCACGTCAATGTGTACCCGCGGCACCGAGGGAGATGCTCCGCAACTCACACCGCGGGAGGCCGACTTCCAGCGTGATACGCAAGACAGCAAGCTGGCGCTTTTGGGACCAGACGCCCCGCTCGCCCGGGAGGGACCCCGTCAGGGCTCGCGGCGATGATTGGCTACTCGAGGTCGGCCTTACCGCCCCTAGAGCCTCGTGGATTCGTAGCCTCCAATCTTAAAGAACGACGAAGAACGAGAAGAAAGATACAAGTGGAGAGATAAAAGTAGATGAACACGAAAAAATAGTAGATGTGTTTGCTCGATTGGTGTTGTTCAATCGGCCGTCACCCCTTAGGTATATAAGAGGCGACTGGACTTCCCGTGCAAGGAAAAGGCTTGGATTCACGTTCAAAACCCTAATCAAATTCGGATTGATTTTGTCCGAACTTTCCAAAACTGTTCGGTTTAAACTAGCTGCATCTTGCGGGTCTTTTTTGTGGTGGTAAACGATCTCGGATGGAAACGAGCCCAAAAGCAGTCTTGACCGTTTCGACGATACGAACAACTTTTATGTTGAACTTTTTTTGATCAAAGGTCATCTTGAGGGTCAAATCGGTCACGCAAAACAAGCTATCCCTCGCGCTACCCATCAGACAGGGTGTCTGGTGGGGCGCGCCAGTTTTTGCCTCCTGACAGGGCTGTATTCCGATGGCTCTAACTTTTGCATACGAATTCGGATTGGAACAATTTTTATATCAAAACCGATCGTTTCGATGAGACGAAGACAACCCGTGTAAATAATGTTTCCATTTGAGGTCGTCTTGGGGGCTTAATCAGCCAAACTGTACTCTGAATATAAGATCTTAGTACTTTGAGCATAGTTTCGGCCTTCGAGATGAAATCGGACTGCGATGACCCAAACTTTAAAGATGTTCATATCGACAACACGGAACTCTTTCATGAAGATCACTTCTTCATTTGAGGCCATCTTAAATAAGTTATTGACCGTGCCAAAATCTGGTGTCAACAGCAATCAATCGGCCACATGAAGTTGTCACGTCACTTATAGAGAACCTAACAATAGTCCACTTGTATAAATTAATTTTCCGTGCTCATGGCCATGCATGATTTGACAAATCATATGTAGCCTGCTAAAGTCATTTCGTCCCTAGTGTAACAAACGGACAGCGGTCACAGGTCAAAGGTCAAGAGCAAGTATACAAAGGTAATGTAAATAAAGTATAAGAGTTTGTTTTCCCAAGTTGAAACAGAGAGAAGACAAATGGGTTATACAATCAAGAGTCGGTCGCAACAAATGTACAAAGAAATTTGGTGAGAAATAAGGTGGACCAAATATTAATAAAGTAATATATACCAATAACTAAAGTAATAGTAAAAAGTAATATATATATATATATATATATATATCACAAAATTATTAGGGCCTCTCTTATTTAGGGCTAAAGTTTGACAATATATTTAACTAAAAATGTAAATTATATGTGACAAAAATTATACTTTGAAAAAATCTTTTCAAATACAAATCCAACAATACAATTTTGTATCATATACTTATAATTTATATTTTGTTGGTTTTGTAGATGGTCAAAGACCCAAAATACACGGGGCCAATAAACCTAGAGAGAGGTAGTACTATATATACTGGCTATATATGACATGACATTAAAATACAATCAACTTGCGGTTGACTCTACTATTAAAATTGCTAGGTGATGCGTTTATGCGGTTCTCCTAATAAAATAAATCTACAACAAGATGATCATTAACATCAGCCGATACGCACAGTTTGCGACTAAACAATGGTTGGATGGATGAAATTATGAAATCCAAATAATTCGGTCGTGCCGTTAGTTTGGTCGTGGGCAGTTCTTTTAATTGCAGATAAGTTCCGGCCCGACACATATATGCTGAATCAAGCGAAATGATCAATCTAGTCAAACAAACCATGTAGTAATAAAATTTATGTTCGAAAACCGAAAACTCAAGGAACCAAGCGAGCGAGAACGGGTCTATATATGCTGTGGATTTCTTTGGTTTTCCTTCAAAGACGACGACAGTAATGTTGTTGTTTTTCCATGGCAAAACAAACTGAAATTGTGGTTGTTTTCATGCATATAGAGTGTCCGACTTCGAGTGGACACTTGTCATGTTGCGGCGATATATACGTGCATAAACTTTGGTCCTATGGCAACAACCAAACAATTTAGGATGGTGGTGGTGGTGTGGACGGATCCCCCAAAGCAAGCATGCATGCAAATCGTGCTCCATGCATCACACCAGCCGCTCCTTGGAGAATGCATGGCCACCCTAGCTAACTTTAGGCAAGCACATTTCAAGACCTTTTCCCTTTCGTTTATATGTTGATAAAGACCTTTTGTCCCTTTGTTTATATGTTGATTGTTATCATGCGTACCCATTTTCTAGACCACCCAAAAGGATACATCTTCTAAAAGTTTCTTACAATTTTCTTGAAAATATTTTGAAAGTTTTTCATGACCCTAAAATGACATACCAATACAACCCAAAGTTAATAAACTGAGACCACCCCTCCTCCCCGGGAAATAAATAAATGAAAATAAATTGAGACCCTACGAGGCTTCGAACTGTAAAGCCTGGTGGCTCGGACTGTCCAGGGTCCAAGCCCGCTATAATCGGATTTTTTAAGCAATTTCTAATGCAAAATATGACATGAAGCAATTTGCGACAAACGAGAGGAGGCCCAGGCGAGTATATATATCCGGCCCCCATTCCCCAAATCCCTTTCCATCCTCCGCACCGTACGACCGCAACAACCTCCCCTTTTTCCGCCGGCGAGCGACCGATCCGGCGGACGGACCATGGCCGCGCTCGTCGGCGACGCCGCCTACTGGCTGGCGGAGCACCCGGACATCGTGGGCTTCCGCTGGAGCCCCTCGGGCCTCTGGTTCTCCACCTGGGCCTTCCTCCTCGGCTTCCTGGCCACCTACGTGTCCCTCTGCCTCGCCGCCGACGCGCTCCTCCGCCGCCGGAAGCAGCCGCTCCCCCTGGGGCCCCTCCCGGCCGCGCACGCGCTCCTCATGGCCGCCGTCTCGGCCGCCATCTTCGCCGGCACGCTGCTGTCGGCGGTGGCGGAGATACGGGACACGCGGTGGTCGTGGCGGGGCCGGAGCCGGACCACGCCGCTCCGCTGGCTCCTATGCTTCCCGCCGGGGACCCGCTCGTCGGGCCGCGTCTTCTTCTGGTCCTACGCCTACTACCTCTCCCGGTACCTCCACGCGGCGCGCGGCGTGTTCGCGGTGCTCAGGCGCCGGCGCGGGGCGGCCGCCCGGGCGTTGGCGCACGCGGCCTCCGTCGCCATGGCGTTCCTGTGGCTCGAGTTCTCGCAGTCGTTCCAGGTGCTGGCCATCCTCGCGTCCACGCTCGCCCACGCCGTCGCCTTCGGGTTCCGCTTCTGGGTCGACAGCGCGGGGCTCCCGGCGGCGCGCGCCGCGCGGAGCGGGTCGCTGGCCTGCCAGCTCGGGCTGCTGGGGTGCAACCTGGTGTGCCACGCGGGGGTGGTGTGGATGCACTTCGGCGGGGCGATGGCCGGCGGGTGCAGCGGCATCGGGGCGTGGGTGGTCAACACGCTGCTCAACGCCGCCCTGCTCTGGGTGTTCCTGCACTGCTACGGCACGCGCGGCGTCTGCGACGACGACGGCGTAACCGCCGCCGCCGCCACCGCCACGGTGAGCCTGAAGAAGAAGAAGAAGAAGGGGATGTGAGAGCGGCGTGAGGTGATCAGGGCCCCAACCAACCAACCATTGTAATATACTCCTACTGTAGTACAATCCATTGGTGTACTGTACATATAGGTAGAGGCCGGCATTGGCATCGGCATCGGCATTCGGCATTCGGCATCTGGCATCCCGATGAGATGAGATGAGATGAGATGAGATGAGCAGGTGACTCGCTGCTGCTATATACCAAAGCAAAAAACATAAAAGAAAACAAAATTCAATTCTAATTTATAGAGATGGGTACACATACATAGATAGATAGGAGCACATACATATATGCACGGGTGGATCGACGATTGGATCGAACCCCTGCCGCTGCTGCTGATGCTGATGATTAACTCGATTCTTATGCTCTGTTCTTGTGTTCTTGGCAAGGGGAATTTTCTCCTCTTCTTCTTCTTTTTGGTTGATTCGGTTCAGTGGGTGACATCTGAACTGGAAAGAAAACATCTAAGCTTCCTTTTGGATGCAACTGAGCCTGTGTGTGTCTCTGTCTGTGATCCCATGCCAACTGCCATGCTCGGCGTCGCGTCTGGAGTCTCAAGTGCCATGCCGCTCTGTCTTGTTCGTGTTCGAGCGCAGAGAAGAAGAAGACAGACACGGAGCACAAGCCAACAAGGGACGGCTCCGTTTTCTGGTTAAGCTGTACGTAGCTGAAATGAAGCAAAGCTGCTGCAGCTGTCACGTGAGCAAGGAAGGCCACACACACGCCGACAAAGAGTGATGAGATGGCCATCGCTGATGCTGCTGCTGCTGTTGCGTCGATCCACTGTCTGTGCAGAGGGGAGGCGTCCGGCGTCCATTCCCTGCTGCTGCTGTTGCCTCGCCACTGCCTGTGCAGAGCACTGTGAAGCAGCAGCGATTAAACTGGAGAGAACATGCCGAGCTGGCCGTGGCCGGAGCTGCGTTGCATGCCTCAACCCCAACGACACGCCTGGTCTGGACCGCCGTGTCTGTCACGTGTACGTAGCACACCACGGGTGTGTGGCTTTTTTTTTCTTTAACACAGACAGTACAGACGCAAGCGCTCATATACATGTGCATACACCCACCCCTATGAACATGAGCGCCTTCGAAACAAACACTGAGCCGGCATATCATCTTAAAATCTACGAAGTCGCCATAGGCACCTCGTCGTCGTCGTCGACGGGAAACATCTCCTCCCACTGAATGCGCATCACCGGAAATCCTGAAATAAATCCAGAAATAAATGCGAGCACCATGACTTGAACCCCGGCGGGCTGGGGATACCACAGTCCCTCTAACCATCCAATCACAGGTTGGTTCGCACCACGGGTGCGTGCTGAGTTATAACAATTCGTTAAAATTCTACCACGGGCAACCGTGTGTGTTGCGTTGCAGGTGCTTCCTCTGTGAGGATCCCCCCTCCTGTTCAGACCGACCTCTCCCTGCAAGTGGGCCCAGCCAGGCCAGGCCAGGGCCTACCGACCGGTCAATGGCCGAACAGGTCGGCTCCCTCCGCCGTCCACGTGCCAGGGGAGTTGCTACGCTCGAGTGGTCCACTCATAGCATCACCTCCGAGAAAAATATCAAGAGTTCCTAGCCCTCCCATGCTTCCATGATCCGGGAGCTCCTGGGCGCTGGATCATCCAGGCCAGGCCGTCATAGACCGCTTCCTGGCGGGCGGCGCGACGGGAGTCCTGAGCACCACCGACAATAACAAGTTGAAGAAGTTGCACCTGCAGCACGGCGAGCTGCGCACGCAGCTGAAGGAGGTGAAGATGCGGAAAGAGTGCATGGAGGAGGCCATGGCAAAGAAGCGCGCCATGGGGGACCAGATTGCGGTCTTGCTTAACCCCGATCTAGGTGACATGGGAGAGGAGGAGATGATGGCCTTCGTCGGCAAGCTGATGCCGGTGCGGGTCGCCATCTCTGAATGCGCAAACCAGGTACTCCTAAACCTGGGGATGGAGAACATCATTCGCGCGCTCCAGGCGCCTGGGGTGCCACTACCGCAACAACTCTTTGCTGGAAGTACCTTTGAGTCTGGTAGCACCAGCACCAACACTGGGATGGAGATGCAGCAGATGCATATGGCGATGCCTTCAACTCAAGGATTCGCCGTAGGGATGGATATGCACCATATGTCAATGGCGATGCCTCCGCCGGGCTTGGCCTACGGCATGAATATGCAGCAGATTCTTATGTCGATTCCTCCACCTCTGTTAAGAACATTGCGTCGTCAAAGCATCAACCACTGTTAGAGGCATCCTCGCCTCTTGACCTGTGAACGCTTCTAGACTGAATTGAACAGCTGACTCCGTGTTAGACAAGGGACAAAATGGCTTTTGGCGGGCCACATAACTTGTCAAAACAAAAAAGATGCATGCATGGCCATGATGATGCATGGAAAACTTAACACTCCTACTATTTTTGTTGTTTTTCCTATGCGCCTATGTATTGTCCGGGAAGAAAAAGACATGATAGCACTGAGCTATATACTCTTCTTCCGGAATCATCCATTGAATGATCAACAACACACAAAAGCCGTGTGCCACCTTCCCACTGATTGAGTCACTCCACCAGTCTTTCTCGTATTCCGGGTCGTATTTTAATCATGATTTTAACTAATTTAATATATGTTAGACGTAGCAAAAATGATATAATTGGAAAGTACACTTAAACACAAGTCCAACAATATAGTTTTCAACGACATGCATAAATGATTTGCCAGTAAAATATGTGGTTAAACTTTGGATCTAATACGTGGTCAAACTTTGACCCAAAATACGATAAGAACTAGTGAAACCAGGACTAATGTAGTAGTAGATTAATCTGCATTCAAAGTAATTAAAGGGGAAAATATAACATTTTTTCCGGATGGAGCACGTACCACTACTCAGCAGCTTGTAGTGTGGAGAAAGGTCATGCGATTAACCCTCTGTTGCTCATATCTAGAGTAGTACTACAGTTTGCGGGTAAACACATCAATATTCTTTCTCCTTTTTCAGTACTCCTCAGTCCTTCTGCTCACGTCTAAAGTGTGAAGAAGAAGTGGCAAAATTAAGGAATAATAAAAAGGTACTTCGTTCCTAAAGGAAGATGAACTATCGAAAGGGCTCTTGTGAGCTCGAGCTCACATGCACCATTTGCTATGAAACTCCTGATAAAGTTTGGCAAATCATCTGATCCGTAGTTATGATGGGACGCACACGAAGAATCTAATAAAGCAAAGATGCATATTTCTAGTGTTCTTCGGCTTGTAGCTGATGTCCTAGATTAGTTCTTCTGAATCAGAATATTATGCTAGCGTTGTCGGAAACAAACATATGTATTTTTTTCTTATACCAAGCCATCGTGACGCCAAACTAAGGTTTACATCGAAAAAATACCACCTCCATTCACTATTATAAGATGTTCTAATGTATTTTTATTCCGACATATATAGACGAATTTTATTGTGTTTGTTCAATCTTTTTATATGTATGTAGTCCATATTAAAAAAATTCAAAACATTTTATATTTGTGAATGAGGGAGTAGTATTCAAATTGTTCAAGACAAAATTCAGTACTCACTTTGTAGGACCGTCCTTTTTTTTTAAAACGCGGTCCCTCAGAGCCCGATTCATTAACGGAAAAAAGAGCAAAAACTGTTCGTCCTATCATATGACCGTACCCTGCCCCGGATTGATGACTTAGATCTTGTAGAAGGTTAGGACCCCATCATCTTGGACGAGGGCGACCACTGCCGATCGATACCGATCGCCGTCCAAAGCAACGGAGCAATTTCATTAAGCACGGCACGGCGAAATAATAGCTCCAGCAGAGGAGGGGGAGAGACGAAGTTGATTGGCAGGTCGACGCCGCATATATAAACTTCAGCGACAACGATCGAGTGACATATACGGCAGGCTAAAGTCTACGTACCACCGAGAGGAGAGATTGACAGATGAAGTTGAGCTCTCACGTCATTCACTTTCTTGGGTTAGGTGGACTCAGCGTGCACCATCCGTTCCGTTCCGTCCTAATCAACTTCACCTTTGGAGTCGTCGTCGTTGGAGAGTGGAATGGAAAGAGGAAGATCCATCCATGTGTGGCTGCACTTACTAGGGAATCGAATTACGTAGCAGATTTTTCCAAAACGAAAAAGGAAGTTGGCCTATTTTTTTAGGGAAATAAGTTGGCCTACGCCTACTTAGCCAGCAACTAATCTTCAATTACCCTCCGTTCCTTATGTGTATTAGTTTTAGCACGGTGGTACACAATTATAGACATGGTAAGACAAAATTACCCTCGGCAACGGAAATTCACTTTGGCACATGGGAGCATATGCTCCTATCGTCGGAAAAACATTTCAAAATGTCAAAAAAAAATCTGAAAAAAATTGACACGTACATCTCGATATTCTATGTGCGCACGCTAATTTTTGTGGAAAACCGACATTTTCGGTGGCTTGCGTAAAAAAAGACAAAGATATGCCTCGTGAAAGGCCCTTTTTACCATTGAATTTTGTCTCTCTCACACGTGACACAAAAATTGTTAATTTTTCACGAAACGACTTTGTGAGTATGTAGAATGTCGAGATGTATGCGCGAAATGTTTTGTCTGAATTTTGTGACATTTCAAAATACGTTTAGAACACATTTTAAAAAACCAGGAGCATACTAGGTGCCAAAACGCCTCTCTCGCTTGGCAAATCCTTGTTTAATGGAAAGTAAATCAATTAGTCTAGAAAATTAAGACATGCATGCAATTGCCAAAGAGATACTTTCCTTTTTTTGCTGTAAGAAGAGATACACACAATCAGGACAGAGATACTTTACTTTTTCTGGAAGGCTAATAAGGAAATTATGTGAAATTAAAAGAAATGCACCTTACGTTATGAAATTTTATCAAAAAGCGAATACACCTAATATAAAGGAGTAATTAGCAAAACATGCGCCGGGAAGAGGAAGATCAATGCCGTTATGCACTAGTCACCTTCAGAACTCTTTGGCACGCGGTTCGCTCCGGTTGGCTGGCTG